CCCCAAAACCCCAAAACCCCAAAACCCCAAAACCCCTGATTCTGTAATATTTAATGAAAAGACATTTTTATAAAATGAGGAGCACCAAAATTATTTGGCCTTTTTACATTATCTTACTCTGAATGTTGCCCCAGGCTCATTCTCAGACAAGCCAGAATGCGAATCCATTCTCAGTGTATCAGCAGACGTATGGAGCAGAGGTGGATCTCAGCCCATACAGTTTTAATCTTCAGACTTTCCTAGCATATCCTTACTTATTCAGAGGGACTACAAGATCATGACAGCTACAGCTTAACGAGTATAATCAATATTTATTGAGAAATCGCCAGGATTACGATGCTGATACTCCTCCAAGCGCCGAAACTTTAAATGTTCTTGATCAGATTAGCAGCTACTCATATTTATCCTCTCACAACGAGAATGACTTCACAGGTTATGAGAGATGAAGGGACGAGTTCAGCCAAAGATATTATGTAGTTCACAGAAAGGATCAGCCCCATATCTTACATTTTGGAATGTGCATCCCTAGTCAGTGCACTCCTGACGATGTTCTGTATATCATTAGGGGAATCAGAAGGGTCAGAGCTGCCTTTGGCGATCAGAATGTCAATATTGAAGGTGCTTCACTTGGAGCATTAGAACTTCTTGACGATAGTTTTGAGTTAAGAGTTTATGACTCAGATGTAATGAATGAGGATGCAAAGGACGTGGAGTTTGGACATGTTGTATTCTGGAGCTTCTTTGGGATAATGGCTTTACTCGTCATATCAGCTACTGCTTATTCAATTTTCATGCAAGCAAGAGAGGAGGCTGATATCAACGACAATCTTAGAGCTCAAGGAGCTCGGAACTTCTCTGAACGTCTAATATTAGGTTTTTCTCTTGGTCGATCCTTGGAGAAGTTGACAAATACCAGCAGCAGGCTTGGCGCAAACACTCTTGAACCGCTGCGTGGGTTCAAATTCATGTTCGCAGCATGGCTTTCCATCGGGATATATGCCTATGTGGCATATTTGCCACTGAAGGAATCTGAAAAATTAGAAAATGAGCTATCGAAGGATTTACTCACTGTGTTTGGTAAAGCTGTAATATTTATGACTGATGGACTACTTTGGATCAGTGGTGTTTACACTGCCTACGGATATATCTACGAGCAGGTTGAAGTCAGAAATGTTATCAGTGAAAGTTGGAAAGAAAGGCCATTATCAGAAAAACTGAGCATCTTCGGTCTAGACATTCTTAATAAAGTTGGAAAGTTATGGTTCCTGTCTCTTATGTCAATTCTCATTTTTGGTTGGGCTGGCCCAACTATTGGCAATGGTCCTGTCTTTTCAGAGCAGTATTATTATAATACAAGGAAAATGAATGATTATTGGTACACATATCTAACATTTACGAATAACTTCCTTGAAATTCAAAATCAAGGACTCATTTGGGGAAGTTTTATTGCCACTGAGGTCCAGTTATTTATCTGAGCACTCCCTTTCATTAGAATGCTAATAAACCGAAGAACAATGGGAATGGCTATACTTTCATTTTTAATGATTTGATCTCTTTCTGCATCTTTTGTATGGTCTATCACCAAAGATGTAAAAATTTCGGTGATTAGGGACGCTTATCAAGTCATGGAATATCAGCAGAAATTCTTCTTGAAAGCATTCCCTTACTGCATGGGAATCTTTACAGGTCTATTTACGTGGAAGGCTCATCACGAAGAGAATGAAGGAACTATGTTTCAACAGATTGTGGAAAAAATTGAAGAGAATAAAGCTTTTAGGTATATGATGCACTTTTGTGGAGTCTCTATGATCCTACTTGTGATATTTGCTCTTCATCCAATTGATCACGACAGAGATCATGATATTGATGCTGTGAGTGCGGTCTTACTTACAGCTTCTCAGATTTTAATGCCTCTTGGACTAGCTCTGAACTTTATCCCAATGGTGCTGAACCGATCTGAAATTTTGAAATCAATAATGGGAAGTAGGCTGTTGAAGCCTCATTCATCTCTATTGTTTATAATGATTCCAGCTAGTGGAACTTTAACTTTCTCTATATTTTACACTCAGCAAGATGGAGAATACTTCTCCTTTAGGATATACATCATTCATGTGTGTGCCCATTGGTTACTCTTATCTCTAGGATCATTTATTTTATGGTGATTGGTAATCTCTCCTCTTTACAACATGTTTGACTCCTTCATTGACTACTTCAAGAATTCATTCGGATTAGGAGGAGGTAACGAAGATATTGATGATCAACCAGACAAGCTTTATAAGTTGTCAGAGGAAAATAGTGATGATGGCAGTCATAGGGACTATGACGAAGATGATCCTCCAGGCCCTTATGAAAGAAACTCCTTCTCTCAAAATGTTGATGAATAACAATCATTTATTAAGCTTCAATAATTGATCAAGCTTTTGGGGTTTTGGGGTTTTGGGGTTTTGGGGTTTTGGGG